TTTGCTCTAAAACACACAAGATATAAGTGTGTATTTGCTCTGAAACACGCAAGATAGTGTGAGTTTGCTCTGAAACACACAAGATAGTGTGAGTTTGCTCTGAAACACACAAGATATTGTGAGTTTGCTCTGAAACACGCAAGATAGTGAGAGTTTGCGCTGAAACACACAAGATAGTGTGAGTTTGCTCTGAAACACACAAGATAGTGTGAGTTTGCTCTGAAACACACAAGATAGTGTGAGTTTGCTCTGAAACACGCAAGATAGTGTGAGTTTGCTCTGAAACACACAAGATAGTGTGAGTTTGCTCTGAAACACACAAGATAGTGTGAGTTTGCTCTGAAACAATTAACCGTATAATTCGTACTATCGAATCCAGGTATTATTTAAAATATCAAACTCACCAGATTTCGCTGTTGATTCCTGATCAGATCAGTTTTTCCCGCAGATTTCGTCCCCATGATGACTTTAGCGCGTGTAGAAGGGAATAATCTCAGGTCGGATAACACTCTTCGTTTCGGCTAGGTATCCGTGTTCAGCGAAAAGGAAGAATTCACCCTGTCAAGACAAAGTAGCCAACGAATGACATCGGGAGCGGAATTCCTGAAATATTCGTTCCTTTAAACATTAACAAGAGCAATCCGAGGAATAAATAAGTTCAGCACCAAAAATAGTACTAACGAAATAACATTAAAGTCATCAAAATAGGACAGTAAAAGTTTTAATGAATTTGTATTCAGTATTCAGATGCCAACATACCACAATTTGCAAGAATTGTACTTTATCATGTTCCCTCGACAACCGTCCAACCGAAAAATATCAGCAAAACTCATGGCATACACTACTCAATCTGCTGAAACCAAGTATTAGACTTTGTGATTTTCCAATAATTAAAAAAGGAACTGGTAACCAAATCAAAATGACCGTTTGCTCAAAGCAACGAGGATTACCAGAACTGACCTGTTTGATGTGTTAAGTCTCCTCGCATTCTGGATCAGGAATATGGAAGAAGCCAATTCTGGAGGGCGGAGAAAAGCACAATACCGAGTTGATCGGAATTCGTGGACCGGAACTATGAAACTCGAGATCTCAGTGATGCTCATTTGGGGAAAGGTGTGGGGTTTATTTTAGGGTAAACATTTAAATTTGTTATTCAATGTTCTGTGATAAATTGACAATTTCCAAGAATCTCACATAATTCAGTAATTCTGCAGTATTAAATTATTTTCTTTGTAGCCATGAGTTTTCTTTCACAGGGGAATCCATATGCAGATTTCATCAGCTCTTGCGAAAAGTGCTGCTTAAAATAGGATTTAATAGTTTTAACGGGAATTTGTTTTCAGTCGGATTTTAAACCGGGAATGTAAAATGATAAATCGTTAAAAAAATTTTGTGCTCAATTTTTGGGGTCAAAGTACGAATTCCGGGAATTTTGGGAAACGAATTCTAGCAGCGAGACTGGAGCAAGGTTTTAGAAAGGGATGGATAAACAATTTTTGTGGGTTAAATTTAATGAGAGCATAATCATATCAGGGAGGATGGGTCAAGATCTTTGGTTCTCCTCCTAATTTTCATTGCTAATTCGGAGGAGGGGGTATGATAATACATACCCCCGAATTGGGGGGGGGGGGGGGTGATATATATTCCCCCGGATTTGAAGGATGGATATATACCGGATAACCCCGAATTTGCTGAAAATCAGGAGAAGACCACTACTGAAATTCCGAGGAAAACATTGCTCAGGTATTTCTTCTCTTTAGTACTTTAGTAGCTGTTTAATCGACTGAAAATATACGGATATATCAATGAAGCTGCAATAAAATGTTCAGGCGGAACTAATCCCTAAAGGGCTAGTTCCATACCGCTATAACCCGTCCCTCACCCTCGTTTCAGTCCTACATGTTACCCTTAACCCTTACATTATAACACTATCCCTACTGAAAGTTTTTAGGCGGTATTCGGTCGGCTTACCAATACATCGAATCAAGCTCTCATTGCATGTGTATTGTATCATTTTCATCATTTTAATGGAAAATATGGATAAAAATAAAATTGATCCTGTATATAGATATTAGGTCTGTGGCTATATCCATCATCAACCAGCTGTGACTGAAGATTCCGTATCATGTTTGACGTACATTTCAAGGGTGCTTTCCTCGCTAGGATTAACTGAAATAAACAGTAATTATGTGAACAGCGGGGGATCAATCAAATTCCATATTTTTTATAGGAGCTCGTATAAGTAAGAGATTTAAACCGGGGTCTATTAAAGCCCGTGATAACAGGGAGGAAGATAATAGTAGTTTTTATCGCATCAAAAAATATCCGCCACAACCAAAGATACAGCTGATTAAAATGTCGCTTGCACTGAACACAACGTATAACTGTATAATTGAGGGACAACATGCAAAACTGGTATATCTGAACATATACAAATTTTGCGCAGGTAGCACATAGTCTTCAGGGTGAAAAGGTGCATCTTAGGAACTTTTTTTGAACAATTTTGAAGAAATTTTTGAAAAAAAGTGAAATTTTATTTTTCCAAAACTGGTATACGTTAAAATATACCATTTTAGCTTTTAACAATCATGAAAACAAAATGGTATATCTGCAGATATACCACCTTCAAGAAACTTATCTTCTATAAAACCGGTATATCTATACACATTTTATAGACTTTAGCCAACCCAAATGGTATATCTTTAGATATACCATTCTCAGTTAAATTATTTTCTTGTTTATAGTATAGAAAAAATGGTATATCGTGAGATATACCAGTTTGGAACAATTCTAGTTTTAAAAATGGTATATAGACAGATATACCATTTTTTAGAAGTTTTTTTACACATGAAATAGAATCTTTTAAATCAGTAAAATACGTTTATCTCAAAACTATCAAAAACAGATATACCAGTTTTGCATGTGGTCCCTCATATATATAAATTACCACAAAACCGATTAAAATGTCGCTCGTACATCTATGCGATTGCGATTATTTAAACTATTAAATCTTCAACTAACTTGGTTCGTAGTTAATAGTGCATCTCTTTAATTAAAGTTAAACTTGAACTCCTCCTAGAGTTAGAGTGAATGCAGCTTCTTATCATCCTTGTGGCTGAGCAAGGGTCTGTAATAAAGTGTTGTAATACTTATCGTATAACATAATAACAGAATAATAATAATATAACATAGTAACAATGCATTAAAACTTTTTAAATCTTTGAATTGATTTTAAATATTTTATGTTAAATACCTTGTTAGATGCACCACAGTATTTAGGTTCCTGCATGCTGTTCCCTGGGTGGAAATCAAAGAGAAGTAATCTTCGCTGCTCTTCCTGGACTTCTGGGGACTGGGTTCTTGTTGTCCTAACTTTCCATTTAGGGAAATTTGAACTTATTTTTAATTATTTAAATATCTACGTTATAGATTACAGAATCATCTGAGCTGTTGTAGGATTTTATTGAATTAGTGTTTAGTAGCCAACTCTTCCCATTATGTTATTATTTAACCCCCCTTTCCTTGGTCCTGATCGATACTTTTACCCTGGGTGTATATAGAGTAAGGTTTATCCTTTAGTGGAGGTGATTTAGTTATTGTTTACTGCTTTAATACCTTGATATATACACTTGGGCTCATTAAATTTGAAATTAAATTCTGTTTCTGAGATGCAGGTCACTTCACTGCTCCCTTTATTTAGAGCTACAGAGTCAGAACAAGTCACTTCCACCACAGTTCCTGGGTTTACTGGGAACTGTGTTGAGGTCTCAATCGTACTTTTCCACTCATTTTTCAGTCCAGTGCAGCTCACTGAGATTGGTTTGTGGTAATTGTGGTTTAATGAAGAAGAATTGTTGTATGGTGAATAAAGTAACAAGTCAAATAAACACAAAACACGACACAATAACATATTAAACAGCTATGTCAAATAATCAAAACAGATATGTTAGCACGGTTTAATGAAGCGCATTACGTGTTACCCCACTAAGCTCCACAAGCTAGTTTAAGACCTCTTGCCAGTTGTACCTTGGAAAGACTTCTCACAATGTATGCAGGTCACGTTGTCTCCATCTTTTTTGAAACGTTTCCAGATCTCTTTGGTTGCCATATCAAATAAAACAGTTTTCATGTGACACGACAGGGAACAACCAAGCACCTTATCAGTTAACAATTTAAGCAAATGAGCGATCAAATGTTGTTTTGAAACTAATTATGATGTCATAAAGTGTATCAGATGACTTTATTCGTGAGAAGTTTTAATTTAAGTATAGAATTAGCATCTGACCAACCGACGTAAAGATCCGGTGACCGACAACCGGGAACCTCTCATTCCGGGCTCCCACAGGTATCACATCACATGGCCCAATCAGTGACGTATCATTTGTGATGTGATCCGCTTCTAGAATTTAGCCTTTAAGGGGGGGGGGGGAGGTTCACCCTGATTTTTTTGTGAAACTTGGCTTGAGATAGCAGTTGACCAACAAACTAGGATCGGTGACCGAAGTTTTGAGGGGGTCCCGGACCCCAACCGCAAAACGGTACCCGTGGGGCAGCCACGCCCATATTTGGTCCAAATTAGGCCCAATTTAGCCAAATACCCTAAACATGCCCAAAACCCAGATTTTAGTTGCTCTACTTGTAGCTAGTGATCCCTCAACCCGTGTATGAAATTTTATAAATATTGGACAAAAAATAACTGAGTTATAAGCCTAAAAAGCTAAAACTATATGCACATTTTGGGCATACGCACCAAATTTTGACCAAATTTAAAGCTATAAATTGATCAAATATCAAATATCAATATTTTTGAATGAAACCAACTTTATATGAAACAAGCATGTCCAGGGCCAGAAGGCATCATGAATTGCGTCGTTAGTGTTTCATGAATGTTTGCGCCTGAATGAAAAAGTTAAAATAGCTACAAATGTATTGTACCTGTACAAAGAGAGTCAGAAGAAGTGCCGTATACTTGAATTTCTGCTAGATTCCATTCACCCACCTTTCCCTCCTGACTCATCTCAATTACATTTCCGGTTCCTTCACAGTTAAAAGTGTATGAAGTTTTTGTACTGCTGATCTTACCACAATCTTTAACATAACTATGTCCTGCCTTTATGAAGATTGAAGCTCCAATTATCCTTTCTTTACAGCAATTGTGCCTGTTGTAGACGGTCACTTTAGTGACAAGAGAGCACTGTTCTAGATTTATGCGTATCCACATACCGTCTTCAGCTCCAAATGTGTGCGCATAATTGTTTAGATTTCCATCGATGAGATTTGGAGGAGGGTAGTCAGGCCAGCTGCTCTTCATCTCTGCACTTGCAATGTTCAATCTGCCTACTTCTGAAACGTTCTTTAATTAGAAACTATACATCGCCCTATAAATATTATCTCTATTATAATTCAGAGAATTGTTTTTGTTGTTTGTACGACCGCCCACATGCAAATCAGACGAGAAATAGGAAGTTGCGTAGTTACCATGGTAACGAGGATTGTTACACGCACGTACACACTACACGTGCAATGATTGTTTTAACGTCATTTTGATCGGTTTTGTTGATATTACGCTGTGTTTAGTACAAGCAACATTTAAATCGGCTGTATCTTTAGTTGTGACGGATATTTTTGACGCGATTTAAACTTACTAACAAGTACTATTTAACGTTTAACAACGTTTTATATGTAACCTACATACAAGTACAACCTTAAAATGTAGTTGAATTTTGAACTCTGCTTACAGTTAATAAGGTAACCTTGATCTGACGTCAAAGAAAACCTTTAAGTTTAACCAACGTTGGCTATTTAACGTTAAACAGCGTTTTATATGTAACCTACATACAACCTTAAAATGTAGTTGAATTTTGAACTCTGCTTATAATTAATAAGGTAACCTTGAATTTGATCTGACGTCAAATAATAACGTTTCGCAACGTTAAAAAGAAATCCTTAAAACAACGTTAGCTATTGAAGTTAGTGCTTTTTTGAAGAATAATTTTAATTTTATAAATTAACACAAAAGTTGTGAATTAGTATTCTCTGGCACAAATAAATCATAAGGAGGCAAATTAGGTAGTGCGCCATCGACAATCGACATTGAGCCGCGCGTGCCGACTGAGTATGGTTTTTAGCGCTAATTTCGGCCAGCACAAAATTCTTGAAACAAATGCGTATTGAGTAACCTTCCGTTGAATATTGATCCAAATTTAACAAAAATTGGTTAGCTTACTCATAGACTTACAAGGAAAGTGTCCAAAAAATTTAAAGCATATCCAACCATCAGACATTGTCATTATGTTACAGCTGAAAGTAGCGTATTTTACCCCATTTTGCCCCATTTTGGCATTTTCATCACTATTGACTATGTCAACTCCGATATCCACTAAATTTTTCGGACAGTTGTGAAAGCCCTATTGGAAGGTCTTACAAATTAAAAAAAAAAGAATTTTAAAATCATTTGCTCATTTGTCATTGCTGAACTTCTCGAAATAATGTTTTAAATTGGTAAATAAGTTAAGTTTATAAATTCTCAACCTGAGCAGTTTCTTTCGTCTGACCCATCTTTACAATCATTATCTCCATCACATACATAGCTAGCAGGGATACATTGTGCACCGTCCGAGCACTTCAAATATCCTTCTCCACACTCTATCTCTGGAGAGTAGTTGATTATTATTGATTATTGGATGCTATATCATAATTACAGAATAATATACTTTTGTGAACTATAATGAGGGCTTCTATTTTGGTCAGGAAGTCAACACCCCTATCAGTCGGTATGATGGGAATAGTGAAAAGTTAAATGTAGCAAGAGAGATCAGTCAGCACTCTCACTCCACATCTATGAAAGGAATTTTGAATATTTTGATCAGTAACTGGAAGACGTCCGATTTACCATATTGCAATAGGTCATTTATACAGAGGCGCCTCGTGGGAGGTGGCTGGCAGTTTTGTTGGGTGTCCAATCGACGGACTGGGGAGGGAAGGGGTGGGGGGACTTGGGGCCGGCCCAAGCTCCCTCCAAACTACCGATTGCATTACACACAAGGCCTCATGTATGTAATGTGTCACACTTCACAGGCGACAGCAAACAAAAACAAAAACTTATAATATGGGTGAAACTTGGAGGACTTCGCCGCTTCGACGCGCCGCGCGAACTAGCATTCTTGCTTCGCAACGATCTCGATGGGTTGACATCGTCAACTGCAAGGTGAAACAAGACACCACACGTGTACGATCTCAGCCGCGCACTCAGTATCATAACAGTCGATAGTCCAAATTGCAAGGTGTCCTGGACGAGCAAATCATATAAATTACCTGTATAGTAGTGGGATGCGCTTGATGTGCTCTGTACCGTTTAAAATTAACTATGTGTTAAAACTGCGCGGCTTAGTCGTCCAAACGTAGGATTGGACGACCAACAACAAAAAATTTCAAAAAGATCATGCGTTCGCTTTCACTCGAACGTTTGAGTAAATAAAGAGCCTTATATTGCGATAAGATATTTCCGAACACTATTACTAATCACTATTTCTATTTTTAAGCATCAGCCACCAGATGGGTGTCCACGGACGCCTGGACGCCCTCAATAGCCGCCTCTGGTCATTTAATCCGGAGTATAATCTGAAAAGATGGCGCGAAACAGATTTAAAATGATGAAGTTATCAAGCAATTTGTTTATCTCGTGTAACAACTTAATAACCCTCGTTACCATGGTTACTATGCAACTTCCTATTTCTCGTCTAATTTACACGTGGGCGGTCGTACAGCAGAAAGAATTCTCTGAATTATAGTAGAGACTAGAAAACCCGTGGTCACAGGGAGGAACCTAATACTCTAATAGTATTCTTTGGAAGTCAGTTTTAATCGTGTCAAAAAGTATTCATCCCACCGAAGATACAGCCAATTAAAATGTAGCTCGCACTGAACAAGTGAACACAGCGTAATATCAACTATACCGATCAAAATGACGTTAAAACAATCATTGCACGTGCACGTGCGTGTAATAACCCTCGTTACCATGGTAACTACGCAACTATCTATTTTTCATCTAATTTGCACGTAGGTGGTCGTACAGACATACAGAAAGAATTCTCTGAATTATAGTAGAGATTTTAGCCTAAACTACACATTCCCTATGATTATCAGCTCAATATCTACCTAACTGTGGATTCTGTGTGCAAATAATCGCAAAAATGAACAAAATTGCCCATATGCAATAAATGCATTTCGACAACGTTAACCATGATATATGCACATACTGTCATACTGTGTAAACTCAAAAATAATCTTGAACCAAAACAGTTTTGAGTTTACAAGATTTATAAATTATAGTTTGCTATTTAATTTTGTAATCCGCTATCGCCAATATAGCAATATGATTATAACTCTGCCTTCAGTGAAAGAATGTGATTTTATCTCATTCGGAGAACAGTAATTGATAAAATTATGACCACCTTATTAGGTTATGAATAACAATATGCTTACTATCCTATATCCCATATCCTAAATATGTGTTATATCTTATTACTTTATTAGTATTCTTTGAAATACATCACATACAGACATATTCATCCCAACTGAAGATACAGCCGATTTAAATACAAACAATTTAAACACAATTACGTAATTACCACAAAACCGATCAAAATGTCGCTCGCCAATCTTTGCACGTGCATGTACTTGTAACAACCCTCGTTACCATGGTTACTGTGCAACTTCCTATTTTCACCTAATTTGCATGTGGGCGGTCGTACAGACATACAGACATTCTACATACAGACATAATTCTTTGAATTATAGTATTAAAGCACTAACTGCACTTCTATCGTATTTCACAAACAACGCTCTTTTAAAACTAGTATTAACTAATTATAAGTGTTACTGTATTTACATAATATATTTACCTGTATTTACTGATTAATGCTAAATGTAACGCATAACGGCATAATGTCTAAGACTAAAACATTTTAGTCAGAAGTGTTACGTAGTTACAAGTGTTATATTATAGTGTTACGTAGTTACAATTGTTATATAGTGTTACGTAGTTACAAGTGTTATATTATAGTGTTACGTAGTTACAAGTGTTATATAGTGTTACGTAGTTACAAGTGTTATATAGTGTTACCTAGTTACAAGTGCTATATACTATATAGTGTTACGTAGTTACAAGTGTTATATAGTGTTACGTAGTTACAAGTGTTATATAGTGTTACCTAGTTACAAGTGTTATATACTATATAGTGTTACGTAGTTACAAGTGTTATATAGTGTTACGTAGTTACAAGTGTTATATAGTGTTACCTAGTTACAAGTGCTATATACTATATAGTGTTACGTAGTTACAACTGTTATATAGTGTTAGGTAGTTACAAGTGTTATATAGTGTTACGTAGTTACAAGTGTTATATAGTGTTACGTAGTTACAAGTGTTATATAGTGTTACCTAGTTACAAGTGTTATATACTATATAGTGTTACGTAGTTACAAGTGTTATATAGTGTTACGTAGTTACAAGTGTTATATAGTGTTACCTAGTTACAAGTGCTATATACTATATAGTGTTACGTAGTTACAAGTGTTATATAGTGTTACCTAGTTACAAGTGCTATATACTATATAGTGTTACGAAGTTACAAGTGTTATATAGTGTGTCTTTATATTTACCTGGTGCTGGTCTGTAGTAGTCAGAAGCTGTGTCCGAGGAATCGAATTTGATCTGCTCCACTTCTTTACTCCAAACCTTGCTCCAAACATTGCGATAGTGAGTACTACACGCCTGATCTGACATGGTAATATCCACTACTTTTACCTCGTTACAGTGCACCGTTATCCTTGGTCCAGAGAACTTAGTGATCTTCCATGTTTTATTCACGTCACTAAGAAGGGCGGAGAGGAGTCGAGAGAAGAATTTCGCGCATGAGCCAATACGGTACTGTGGGGGAGAGAAGAACTTGAGTCTGAAAATCCCTGCTAGGTCACCCTCTGCAGTGTAGAACCACACATACACTAGTTCCCCACTCCCATCAGCACTATTTGTCCGTATCTCTAGCGGAGTCCTTGTCAGGTTGTGAGGTATCTTTACACCACGTATCACTGGTTTCCAAGTTCCTGTAAAACAGTATTCTTTATGAGTTCCATTTATTATGAATCCGGGTTGACCATATAGGTTCAATATAAGCCAATGCTGAGAATGAGACAACTTAGTTTTCTTGATACAACGCCTATTCAACTTAACAATTTTATTATATTATATTGGTGACCAGGAATAGCAACTGACTGGAGATTAATGGAGATGAGCGGACTCAAGCAGATGGTACATGGATTTTCATGCTTATTTAATGTTACTTATCTATCGTTATTTTACTTATATTTGCAGTAAAATGACCAATATTAGGGAAACCCAAAAATGTTGTTATCATTGACGAGAAGAATAGACAAATTACTATTTTTCAAAACTACTGTCGTAATGGGAATTCCGTGAACATAGTGACAAAGAGATTTTGAAATATTAGGAACGTTATATGATTTACCACGGGCCCACGGCACTCAAAAATGGTGGACCATACTATTTATACTGCTCGAATTATAGGCATGCTTAGTCGTCTGTCAGCCTTTATTTGCAGATAGTCAATATATCACAGCTCACACATAAGTTTTTATCAATCCTATGTCGTAAACGATACCATATTTAAATTATTTTTAGTAGAGATGTGCATTAGAATCTAATTTTTAAACTTCTTCTCATCAGTACCAATAGGAGGAGGATAAAAATAAAGAATCTCATAAGGCCTTTATAGGTCATCTTTAGTATATTAGGAGATTGCTTGAAATTCTATGAAATTTATACAATAAGTTTACTACTGCTAGAGTCTTATCGAATTATTATATAGATTATAGGGTTACTGATAGGAGAAGTCAGACAATAGCTACATGATATAATTATATGTGCGATGGATACAAAAAGGATCATTTGTCTAAAATATTTGTCGTTGTTTGACATTAAAGTACAAATTCTTACCGTCGTTCGTATCAGCACTTGCAGTCCCAAATAAAAAGAGAAACGAAAACAATTTCAACATTCCTAATTTTAGAAGACATATTGAGATGAGAGAGACAGATAAGTCATAAGAGGGACGCACGAGGGACATAGTTCAGGGGGTTAAAAGCAATTATATTTATAATTATAATTATTTAATAAAAGTTCTAAACAAGGGATAGTTAAAAACGAGCGTGCTCAATCAATCTACACTCGAACATCGACATTTTTTCCTAAACATAGGGTTAAAATGCTCCCCTGGCGAGTTATCGACGAAAAGCTGTTTCGATCATGTGGCGTGACCACCATATAAGGAAGTTGGTCTAATTTCATGTTAGGGTTAAGGTTTTAGCATATCCAGATCCTTCAGTTAGGGATTGGGTCAGGGTTAGGGTTGGAGTTTTGAATAGTCCCTCATCTAGAGGACGTTTTTAACTTTAAGTGAGTCACGTGATAGTAGAGTGTAGAGTGATTGATCATCATCCAGTTAAAAACAATGCCCAAGTCAAGCTTCACTGTAGTTTTGGGCTGCTTTAAAACGAAAGCAGTGTACTGCTAGCTGTTCCTATGGCCTGTTCGTACTTTAAAGGATGAGGGGACCTTAGAAAAAGT